ATCGCGCCCTTGCAGCGCCTGTGGAACAAAGCCAACGAAGCTGGACTGGCTCACTGCTTCGGAGATCGCACTCGACTTGACCCGTTGTTGGCTTTGGTTGAGAAGGATTATGGAGTCCAAAATTTCGCGTGCCCACGCGCTTCCATCGGCGGAACTAAATGTCTAATTAATGACATAAACATAGCTTGTAGCAAGGATACATGATTTTTGTATTTAGATAGAGAATGTACGACTTCATTTGCGCAATGATCACACCCCGTTGGCGAAATATAGATTTTGGATTAGGTTGTTGCGTGTTCCTTTTGCTCGTGAGCCCACGTAGGACATGGTGGCGCGTATTTTTGTACATGGACCTGGAGGGAGCGGCAAAACTTTCATGCTGAAAGAAGTCATCCTCCCGGTCTACAACGAGTTTCTACCTGGGACCACCCGAGGGGTCGCTGCCCAAAACTCTGCCGCTCGACTCATAGGAGGAAGCACGTTCCACCATATGGCTGGTCTCACACGGGCGCAAGAGCTGTTGCTGCAAAAGCCCTCTAAGACCAAGAAGGAGGCTTTGCAGCGTAAGTGGTGGCGGCTTTCGCTGGTGTTTGTTGATGAGATTAGCTTGACTGCGCCGAATTTGTTGGCAGTGCTACACGGATCGGCCTGCTATGGTCGTTTCGACCTTTCTCCGGAGGATTTTCTGAGCAACATTTTCGGCAATGTCTTGTGTCAGATTTTGGCTGGTGACTTCTTGCAGTTGAACCCCGTGCGAGCCAGATCCCTCATGGAAGCCTTCGGCATTGAAGTGCCGGGGGCGCCACGATACGAGAAGATGGACGACCAACAGCGCAGGAAGAAAGTCGACATCGATGAACATGGACTTGCAGTCTTTCGCGCCTTTCTGAAACAGGTCATCTTGTTCAGAGGCTCTCACCGCTTTCGGAAAGGAGATCCGTTGGCCGAGCTCTTGGAGACGATGCGAGTGGTCGGGGGTCGTCCCTTGTCTACGGCTCTGAAGGAGGCCATTCGCAAGCAGGTGTATCGCCCGCTGGGAGGCGATCCTCGTCTGAGCAGCGATTACACCATGGCTTCAGGCTCCACTGCGCCCACCGGGCCTCCAGGTTTCTTCGCGCGCGGTGTCTTCAGCGCAGTGAACTGGGACCAGGTGGCTCGTCTCCAGCAGTTGTGCGCATACGAGTCTGCTCGCGCGAGCTTTGGTGTTGCAGCTTTCCGCAACACCCAGACTGGACGTCCCCAGCTGATTCGTCGACACTTTCCGACGTATCTTTCGAGGTCCTTTCAGTCTCGCTTCGGAGCGGTCTTCGCCAAGCAGGAATCCTTCTTGACGTCGTTGCTACATGACAAAGGTCGTCTGCTCTACTACGTTCAAGCAGTGGATTTGGTGCATCAAAGTGAGTTCACCAACGATAAATCCATTCTGCGCGAGATTCTGGGCTTGACCAACATGGCAAGTAAAACTGGCAACCTCATGTCGTTTCTACCGCTGCACATGGGCTTGAAGGTGAAGGTGACGAAGAAACTCTCGCCACCAGAAATCGTGCAAGAGTGTCCGGCCGAGGTGATCGCCATTCAATTTCATCCCAACGAACGCTTTGGCGTGCCTGGCGCGCCCGCCGGTGGTGGAGTCCCCGCGGGATCGCATCCGTGCTGGGAGACTGGATATGTTCGCCTGGACTATCTCCCTGCCTCGATTACCTTGCGTATTGAGGCCTGGGCCTGCAACTAAATATAGTCTGATATACGCGGATGTGACTGAAGACAAGTGTCCTGCATAGTTTGTGAACATCGGTTTTTAGACAGTTTAATCTAACCTTCTGTAGGACCCATGTATCTCTGAGTCACACCTGACTTGCAACAGGATCAGCAAGAAGATTATACTGGACAGCTTCTGCCTGGAGTGTGGCATTTAGAACCGAGTGAAGATTCTTTCCGCGTGCAATTGCATCGCAAAGGAGCCTTGATGTTGGATGTTACTCGGATACAGTATCCTCTTGCTCCGCTGGCTGCTGGAACCTACAACAATGCCCAAGACAAGACCATCAAAGGAGTTGGGCACACGATTGATTTTTCGAAACCAGATTATTTTTCGGCAGACGATTATACGCAGCACTTGTACATGATTCTTGGACGCGCTCAAGCTCTCGAGTATTCCTTATTTCGCAATTTACCGGAGACGCCAGAAGGCGATATTGATTTTTCAATCTTTGAGACTGGTCCACCTGCGTATATTGCCGAGTTTTTGGATCGACTGGAGGACTCTGATGTGCTTGTTGGCTTGTTTAATGTGCTATGTTGGATATCCACGGACTGTTTCACACTGCTCGAGTGATAACATATGAAATAGCCACGAGTCATACCATCCGCAACCGCGCGTGTGTCGATCTTGTATCATTGTTTGCAGGAGGTTGCGCTTTTGTCTCGCTCCGCAATCGAAGAAGCTCGCAGACATCTGCCTGGTTTTCCAGCCGCGGAACACCTACCGCGACCGACCCGCAGAACACCAGAGGGTCGCTTTCAGTACGTCCCAGGGGCTTGGACGGCGGCTACGAGGGCGAGTGTAGTGACTGAGTTCAGGGGAACCAAAAGGAAGTACGACCCCACCAAGTGGCGTCAGCTGCGAACGGATTTCTGTGACATCTGGTCTCTTGTGCTGGAAGAGGTGGCCACTCCCACGGCGCAATTTTTCCGAGAACACGGGGCTCTGCGTGTCTTTGCCGCCGAAGCTGGTGGAGGCGGCGATTGCTTCTTCTTGTCCACTGCGGTCGTCCTGATGCAGGCGCGAGCGGTCCACCCACGACTCTTGAATCTTTTCACTTCCGATGAAGTGACTGACTGGGACGACCGAACTACGGTCGCGGCTGCTCTCCGCAAGATTGTCGGGCAACACATGCGCGCCAAGACGCCAAAAGCATTCTTGAACTTCGTCGTCGGATGTTTGGTGCGCGAAGCTGCGAGGACATGGCTGGACGACTGGTCCATGATCGCACTCTTGCGTGGCTCTCCTTTTGCTTTCTTGAAAGACGCCAACGATGTCCTCGGAGCAGAAGTTGTAGACGACGCCATGCTAGTTCGCTACAAAGAGGGCGACAGCTCCGTGACGAGGAGCAAGAGAGTGCGTTCTGGCACTGCGGCCCTGGTGTCTTTGCAGCATGCCGTGAGTGCTGCTCTCGAAACTTGTGGGAATACTCATTGGGCAACAGACGTCGACTTTGTTGCGTTGGCCACGGAGCTCAATCTTGGCTTCATCATTGCTGGAAATACTTGGACCCAGACGTCTGTTGTTCGAGGCCCCGGTGACACATCTAACAAACGCGTGTGCGATAAATCCATACGAATGTTGGACTAATGACATAACCTATAGGATAGTTTTCTTCACTTCCGTTGTGTGTGTCTCATATACTTCTTGTCGATGCAGGCGAACCACAACAACGCACGGTCTTACACTCCTATTTACAAGAAGATCAGACGCCGCAGTTGTGGATTTCTCTGTATTATGTGGACGGTTATCATGTTCAAGTGCTTATTTTCGAGATTTTGGGACAATGCCATTGTTTCTTTCGTGCCGCGGATCTGCCAGAACCTTTACGCCAGTGCTTGATTTGAATGCAAAACAAAGACCCTTCATGATGAAGACGGAGCTTGGTGGTGAAGTCCCCAGCGCATGCTGCCTTGGTGGTGGAGTCCCCAGCGCATGATGTCCAACAGCGTGCCAGAGAGTGAAAAAGAGATTCTGACCGGCTGTGTCTCTTTTTATACGCAGTGGTTTGACGTATGTGTTTGCATTCGGGTTCGTGGGCTCCATCTTGTTTTTTGTGACTCAATGCTCAGGTCCTTTCACCAACATATGTGCACTTACATTGTGTTCACTGACATGTTGTATACAAACTGTACAGACACGTGTTTGTAGACAAGTGTTTACACACAGTTTCAACACATGATGATGAACATGAACATGTTGCTGGTGTGATGATGAAGAAGAACCCTGGGCAGATGCTTTCCGGAACAAGCATTGCCAGCGAGAAACCAGAAAAACACAAAGACATCAAGTGGAACGTCCCGAATGCAAGTTCTTGGTTCGCAATTTGTTCACTTGATTGTTTTCAATTTTTCGAGAAACAATGACGACCTATATATGTTCTTTTCCTTGTTGTGTGGACTGTCAAGTTGCCGAGTCCAAAATGTGTAGCTGGTTCCGCAGCATGTATATGAACTTCTGGAGACGGAGTGTGTGTGCGCCAGCTTCGGCTTAAGCAGCTGCGGGCGCCATGGCGCACAAATCCAACCCATACAAGAAGGTCAGATGTTTCCTTTTATAAAACCTTTTTGCTTTGATAGGTCACATGTGGGTCACAGGAAGTTCGTGTGTTGTTTCTTGAGATCAACGGCAGGCGCGATCAAAGTTTCGCTGGAAGTGGAAGAAGAAGCGAACTCGTCGGCTGCAAAAGAAACGCCGCAAGATGCGCCAGCGATCAAAGTGAAGAGGCGCGGTTCGGGTTCTTTGCAGGCACTGTGTCAACTATGGGATGTTATTGAGAACTATTTTGCAAGACAAAATTCATGTTGGAACATGCTACTTGCCAGGATGAAATTTTGGTGCTGCAACTGAGGCATTTGTGCGGTAAGTGATTTGACCGCTGCCACAAACGGCAAAGACAATGAAGGGTGGTTTCAACCCTCAATCTGCGGAGTTGGAGCTGTGTGCGTAAAAA